TAGCACTATTTGTTTCATTTCATTTTTATGTTGGTAGCATTAAGAAACAGTGCTTGCCTGGGTCTGTACTGTGGGACCTGGTGGTAATTCCCACCTGCTGAATCCAGCTATGTGTCCTGGTCACATTATTTTGGGATGGAAGTTCAGTCCTTGTCAGTTCTCCTGGTACACGGGGAAAAGAGAGCAAGGTGTATGGACCAGAAGAAGGTTGCAGCATAGTCCCAAAGGGGTCCCTTTTACAGCTTGCATGATGGATCAGCCTTGCGATGATCATGGAGCCTTTGTCCCAAAAATAAATTAATCACTTCTGAAGTTTGCTTAGTTACCCTTCTAGTTTCTGCCTAGACATTAAGTGGCCTTTTGAGGAATAGTTCCTTACTTATGAGCAAATGAATTGATTTTGCAAGGTTTGCTAGCTGCTGAAACCTTTACTTCACCATGAGCTATATTGAATGGAGCCACACATATATATACAGCGTTGCATTCTCTTCTCTGTAGTACCAATCTAAGTATTTTGCACAGACAGACCCTGAATTAGGTAGACTTCATTTTAGAAAAGGACTTTTCTAAATTCACAGAAACTTGTTACCTTTCTCATTTATGGAAATAAATTATGCAAAGCCATGAAAAATGTAAAAACTTGGAATTGTTGAGTACTGCCACATTTTGTCTAGTAATGAAGGATGCACTGACATATGCCTGAGCAAATTTTACTTGTGTATTTGAATTCTACTTCTCTGTGGGCAACACTTAAGTAATTGGATCACATATGACTGGGGGTTTTTTTGGCAAGTCCAAGTTATGGCCTGCAGTTTAAAGTTTTGCCAGAACACAATTTAAAGTTTTGCCAGAATAATGTGTTAAAATGTGCAAAATCATCACATACACAGGAGATAATTGTGATTTCAAATTCTTTCATGAGTCTTACTTAATTTTGTTTGGGGAATCAGTTTAAATATACCTACAAAATAATTAATTTGTTGGCATAAGGAAACAATAAGATAGTAAAAATGTTATGCCAAGTGCTTCTGTACTTTTAATTCAGGTAATATTTAAAATGTGAGCATATGTGGTACCAGTACTGATACATTTAACTGTGTACTGCAAACTCTGTCAGTTTTCAGAAACATCTGATATGAGCATAAAAAAGGAACCACCAAGTAAATTTTGGGATTGTCTTAGTATAAAATGTGCTAAGTGCATTTGTAAAGAGAAAACATATGGTAATTATAGCAGCCACTATAATTACAGTGGTTCCAGGAGGCCTACATCATCAACAAAGATAAAATTAGGGAAGCTTCTTAGAACACCAAATTATGTTTAACTAACGTATATGTTCAAGGCTCATAAAGATGTGGGAGCTTTTCTTTCTTTAGGGACTTGAAGAGAAAAAAGTCAGATCACAAAATTGCTGGATTCCTTAGGCATAAGCTCTTATGAAGTCAAATGCAAGAAACACTGTTCTTGTCATGCTGAAGGACTGCAAGTAGGACTCTTGATAATAATGTATGTGTCTTATGTCCTTGTGCTATTCTGTGCATGGGTATGTGTGTGCATGATGGACTGTTGAAACTATGCTGGTAATATCCATTTAAAATGGAATTCCTGTATTGTTGCTGAGACCTTTTTTTATATACCATAGTAACAAGAGTGTACATTTGTATGGGTAAGAATAGTCGAAGCTGCCATTGATCAAGCTGATACCAATCAAGTCAACACTTTCAGCTTTGGAGGTTTGAGGTGAGGAATGGATGGCATTGCTAGAATACTTAATTAAAAATGTTAACGGAAATATTAATAAAGTAATGAAAGGGTGGATGTTGTTTAGCACAAAATATAGCAAAATGTTGGAAAGCACTGCAACAGAAGTATCTTTTTAGCGGTTGATACTCTTTTCCCCCCATCTTTATCAAGCTGTCTTTTCTTGCTCTCAGGAAACTGTAATGGATACAAGGACGAATTGTGTTTTATTCCCTCTTTTCCTTCTAAATTAAGTCTCGCTTTCTGAACCTGCGTCTTCATTTCTGTTCTTCATGCTTTCTCAAGCAGTATTATCAGGGAACTTCCTTACACTCCTTTAAATATGTTCCTGAAGACCAACCGGTTCTGTGAACTGTTTTAGCCATAAAGAACACACCCCATATGTGTTTGTTCTGATTTATCTCTCTCTGTACTGCTCTACTTTTGCACTTTGTACTTTAAACTGGGGCAGGAAATGTTTGTTGGATCAATATATAAATGATATCACTAGGACAAAGACTGGCATGTATGTGGGGGGGTGTCCCTTTTTAAAATTAGAAAATAAGTGCATAACGTGTATCAAAATGTGTGGCCATAGAAGTTATGTTATTAGGGATAAGACAAAGGATACTTAAAATGTCCAACATTGGGGAAATAGAGATGTTTTAAAATCATGTATTTCATACATATTTTTCTCCTTTCTCTACAAGAAGTGAGAAAATATTTTAAGGAACTCACCAATATAACATATTACTTGCAGCAGCTGTTATTCTTCCATTATTATAGTTAAAAAGCAAAAAGTACGAAATTTTGTATCTTGGTTTATGGAAATTACAGTAACTAGATAGAAATGCCCTATGGAAATAAGCTAGTTAGCTGACTCAAGCTTGGACAGGGAAAGAATATTGAAATCAAAAGATAAATGAGGATATTTGGATCTTAGTGTATCCTTGATTTAGAATCATAGAATGTTTTGGGTTGGAAGGGACCCCTAGAGGTCATCTAGTCCAACCCCCCTGCAGTGAGCAGGGACACCGCTAACTAGATCAGGTTGCTCAAAGCCCCATCCAACCTGGTCTTGAATGTTTCCAGGGATGGGGCCTCCACTACCTCTCTGGGCAACCTGTTCCAGTGTTTCACCACCCTCATTGTAAAGAATTTCTTCCTTATATCCAGTCTTATACCCCACATGGCTGTACTTCTACTCTGCTTGATCCTTTTAGGTGTTCTTATTCCAGTCACCAGCATGTGTTGTTGAAATTTTCCAACTTTCAGCTATGAATGAAGTCATTAGGACATGTATGGTGAACTTCCCTATACAATAATGTATAAACTATACAATCCTTTTTTTTTTTTTTTTAAATTTTAGGTGATAGTTAATCATACAGATTTGTAAGACCCAGATTCCAGTTTTTCTACTGCTTGAGATGGTTCAAACCCACCTATGGTCTGCTTCAGCCCACTGGTAATAAGGCTAAAACAACAGTAGAAGGAGGTTCTCAATGTCTTCTAGTTGAAACTCTTGGCACTGAAAAATTGTTTGGACATCATTCTAAGTTAGGATATTTACCTGGACATTAAATGTCTTCAAGATTTGCTGATCAGAACTGCCTTAATTTTTTTTTTCGAGGCAAATTTAAAGGTGAATCACAGACAAGTGTGTTTCTCACATGGACTTCATTTTTTCTGGTGATGACTAACTATCTGTGCTTTCAAATTTGAGAGGTAGATGGCTGCCTACAGTAACTTACATCCTGTGTTAAACCAGACACAGAAATAAAGATAAATAAGTAATCTATAACACAGGTAAAGTCCTCTTTCAAATTCAAGGGATCTGTACTAACAGATATTGATGTTGCATAGCACTGAGGATGTCACACTCCTATTACTTCACAATATGAAGTTTCCTGATATTTGTTAGAATATTTTAGAAATTAAGGAGGGAAGAAGAAATATGTGTAGTTAAATCTTAAAAAAAAGTAAAGAAAAGGAAAGGGAAGTTGAACAAATTTATTTTTCTTATTGTGTAAATTTTAATCTGTGGCGTCGGTTCAGTCCCTTCCAAGAATAAACCAATTTTACTGTGGATAGATATAAAAGATCAAGAAAAAGTATTATTAAATCTAACTCTTTTTTTTCAAATACATACTTTCCTCTTAATTTTTCTGTAACTTGTCTCACATACAGCTTGCGTTACTTGTCCTGGGGTTTTTTTGTTAGTTTGTCTTCATGGAGGCATTAGGATTCAAAGACTCAGGTGCATTTGTCCTTAAAACTTTTGAAAAAACCCAGACTTTTAATTATCTTATCCTAAGCTTTGTTTTTTCCATTAAAAAATTCCAAACAACTGATTGGAGAAAACTCCACGTTGCACTCTTCCAAGCTTCCTTTTGCTACTTTCTTTGCAGATCTAGATTATAACACTTTGTAGGTATGGTCATAGGGGTGACTTGCTGAATCACCATTGAATTAGAACTTCACAGATGGTATAAGACAAGCTGGTCAGAATTTTCTTAACCTAGAAAGTTGGTCTTTCGTTTGGAGCTTAGATTTCCTAGCAGCATAGGCTAAATTAAAAAATTTTCAACTGAGGAACAGATATTGTGGTCTCACCTGATGGAATACCAGATAATATCAAAGAACTGGTAATAATCTGAAAATAAATTTTACAGGCTTGTTGAATGGACTGGTTTTAGCAAGTAAGTGCTCTTAAATGGTGTGCTTCTATCAGTGGTTATGGTGTAATGGCCTATATTAAAAGTTCAGGTTGCATGCTTGCTTTATTGGTGAAGAAAATGTGAAGCTCGTGGTTGAACAAGTTTTCTTGTAATACCAAGAAATGGCAACTTATTCACTAATACAGGCCAGCTAACTCTCACAAGTAACTAAAATGTTGTAAAATATTAATGTAAACAGAGTGGTCTCCTGTAGATGTGGCTCTACTGCTTTGGGCACCAAGTTGTTATACCTACCTGGGTAAAAAATTTGGGTTTTATAGAAAGAGAATTTTATCTGGTGTTAGCCTGAGTACCTCTACAGTGCTGCGCATCTTGAATAGACAGCTCAAAGGACCCACCACACACATATTTATTGGTTAGTACATATGCAGTTATGTGGTTATTGTTTCAATAGCTTACCAATAGTTTACCAATCCAATAATTCATGTCCTGTCATATGGCACAATCTGTAGAAGCCAAGGGCTGTTAAGTGTATGCCAGGATTAAATAAAATATGAACATGTGAAAGGAGATAATGCTTACCAAGTTAATTTGTATAGTGCTTTCCCAGTCCTTCTCATTGTTCACTCCGGCATTATTAACCACAATATCCAGCCTTCCAAAATGTTCAATTACTTTTTTGAAAGCACCTATAGTGAGATCCAAGGGTGAAATTTCTTAGTACTTACGGAAAGTAAGATATAAGGATGCAATGCATGCATACAAATTAATTTTCTTAACCGCTAATGAGCAACACACAATTAAATTCTTTATCTAACCATTCACGAATATTAAACATATTCAGGAAAACTGAAAGGATGGTCACCTGTTCATTCAGTTTTATAATGCCTGACAACAGGAGCTAATGAAAGTTCTTAGCATCCATACATTCCGTATTAGATAGGATGTTTGGCAACCTAATTTTATAAATTAAGCATTTATAGCTTGATTTGTAACCGTTTGATATAGTTAGTGAATTCAAGATTTGGCACCATCTATTTTAAATGAAAAATGAAAGCTTCATGTGTTCAGAACAATTTTCTTGGTTCCAAGAATGCAACTCTTATTCAGTGATATAACTAACATGAATCTTTCAGTTACAAATAATTCATCATAATTCTTGTTTAAGTTTATCCATCTACAGATGAATTGTTATACATCCTACTTGGCAGGTAAGTTTAATAATGTGTTTCTCAAATTCCATTTGTCTTCCTTCTGCTGATGAAAATAGTGACCTGCCTTCCAAAGAATTTCAAAATAAAGAACTGGGAAACTTCCACAATGACATTGTGTTCTCCCAGGTGACAGTGTCTGAACTAAGATAAAAGATTTGTATGGAAAAACATGATGATGTCATAACGATGAGCAAACTCATCTAGGCTGGCTCTGCTTTGACAGGACAGTTGGATCAGTTGACCTCCAGATGTTCACTCCAGATTTAAGATTTTCCATGACTGCAGACATTATCTGACATGTGTATATATAGCTTGGTTTTGCCTCCAAATATTGTTCCTTGTTACTAAATATTTATTCTTTTGTAAACCAAGACACCACCACCCCAATATTTTTTTAAAAAACTTTGTTCGGCAACTTAGAATCTGGAGTATTCTAAGTATACTGAAATTATTACTTTACAGGCCTTAATGAAACCACTTCACTAAAGGGTGGTCCCAGGACCATCTTAATTCTCTGATCTTTAGTCTTCAGCTATTACTGTCCAACAGAAGCGTAGAAGCTGCCTTGAGACATCCACCTTTTTTGCAGCAGTTGCAGGGGTTTACACATTTTTTTTCCCTGCACCAGATGGTCAGTATTGTTGCACCCTTTCCTTTGCCTGAATGCTGCAGGTCCGTCACGGTCATCACTGCGACATCCAACCAAGAGCTGGGCAGCTAATGGGGAAGGTTTTATTTGTCCAACTGCCTTTATTGTACAGATTTTTCTAATATTCTTATTCTGTACTGGAATATTTTAATATTACTAAAGCCTCTATTTTTGGCTGTCTGCCTTTTTGGCTTTTATTATATTTGTTGCAATTCATTCTCTGGTTTCTCAACTTAACTCTTCAATCACTTATTTTCTTTCCAATCCTGCATCAGCAAGGGCAAATGAAAACCTTTGGCTTTATTAGGAACAGAACTGATTATTTAACTTAGTTTCAATGAGCAAAGTAAATACAATTTGCGTTGTCAATTAGCTTCCAAATTTCAGAAACTGGCTCTCTGATTCCCTTTTTAGCCTTCTCCAAACAGCATCTTTCGTCAATCTCATTCTTAATATTCTTAGTAATAGAATCTTTTGCCTTGAAAAACCACTGTGGATAACAGTATTTTTGCCAATTATTTGTTTATTAAATTCACACAGTCTTGACTCATTGTAGTTTTGTAGTTCAGCTGTTTGCATATCTATGTTAAAATAAAGAAAGATTACCAAATTTGGAATATTTCTGGTAAAAGTTTACCTGCCTACAGTAATCCCATCTATTACCTATCCACAAAAAGAAGAATCTCATTATAAATTCTTAATAATTAAGTTATCACCCACACATCAGTGTAAACTGACTTATTCTTCCCTTTTCAAATATAGAATAATTCTGTGCTTACATTGCACACTAGTTAGTGCTTATGGAATCTTGGAAATTAAAAGCAGATGATCATATGAAATATTGAATGATGAAGAATGAAGAGGAGGATCCATTCTGAAGGAGAGAAAAGAAAAACTGTGGAAAGTAAGTATAAACACCAGTTATATGTGAGCTTCCTAAATATTCATGGAAAGCAAAAGTAAATGTATGGTGATAGAAGGTATTTGTGGGGAACTATGTGAAAGGCCACCAGAGGAAAAAGCACAGACAAGACTTGAAAGTAGATGAAGCAGCTGATTTCCTACTCATAAACCATATGTACCTACAAACAGCAGTTCTAGTACTGGGTCTTGTTTCATACCGAAAGGGCTAAAGGTAAAATAAGAGGAACTTCATTCACACACATGACCTTTAATACAAAAAGCAAGTACAGGACTTGATGCAGCCAGTAAGAGCTTTAAACACTAGGAGTGAAATTAATCTAAGTTTATTAAGCGGTGGCTTGCAATTACAGGTGGAAAAAAATAGGAAAATAAAGCAGTAAAAAACCTGCCCATCCAACAAAACCACTAAAAATACCCCAGAAGCCCCAAAGGATCTTAAGACATGATTGCAAATCTATGCTAAGAAACCTGCAGAGGGAATAATGCAGTATCAGAGAAGCATAAGCAGCAGCTGCCTGTTCTTGCTCCTGCTCCTTGCGAGACCTCATTCCGATCCTACTCTGATTGCTCTTTTCCTATTAGCTTGGTTCCAAAACCTCCCTTGCTGACCCGTCCTGCTCACTCCAGTTCCCAGTGCACACCCTCTTGGTCCCGCACTGGCCTGGCACTAAAGAGAGGGGGAATCAGGAGAGGATGCACACAGAGGTAATACCCATGCTGCAGCACATGCTCTTCCTACCCCTAGGATGCTTTTTCTTGCTCCTAGGTTACTCCTCCCACTTGGAGAAAAAGTCCATAATCAACATAGCTGATAAAAACTTTGTTTGCTAATTGGAGCAGATATCAAATTTAACGTCCAGCATCTCTCTCACAGACAGGCAATGTAAAGCTTTGGAATTAGGCATAATCATGCTAGCTCAGCGCGATGAACAATACTGCTGAGTTCTGGACTAGCTGCAATGTTTCGTGAGAGAGAGATGGGTATGCTTGATCAACGCTGTTGAGAAAGCGGGCAGTGAAGTGTAGCGAATAAAAGCAGAACTGAAAACGTTCACATTGAGCCTGACACAAATAAATCTGGGGAAAGGGAACTGACAAAAGTGATGTCAAAATCTGAATCTGAGTCACTACCTATGAGTGTATCTCTTTAATAATGAAACTTTGATGAAGTGACATGCCTGTTATGAGATATTGTGAAGGGTACTTCAACATTATGCGATACTCTAAGAACTCAGTAGGGAACACTATTTATTCACCAGGGGAAAACACAGGTGCAAATCACACATGAGGGAAGCTCCTCACCGTTCCCTGCATCTGCAAAACATGCACGAAGTCTTATCAACCTGTGTTGAACATGGTGATAAAGCAGTGCCATCTTTTGCCAGTCCTGCTTTCAGCTACAGCAGCACACGTTGAAAGTAAGTAAGTGTGTGGTACGGGAAGAGCACCCCAACCCAGAGAAGAATTTATTACTCCTGCGATGAGGGAACACAGGCTTGGAGTCTGTACTGAAACCTCATAAAAAGCAAGTCCGTGCTTTAAAGTTTATGTACATATTACTCATAAAATGACAATTATCTTCTGCAGAGGCTTTCGTGCAACGATACCACACACAGCACTCAGTGGAAATGATTTCTTTGGCTTTTCTTTACGATGTGCCAAGTAACACGGTGAAATACAGGCATGCTGGTAGCAGTGCTTCACCTCTGCAGGTTCAGAAACAAATCCTTTTTGAGTCACTGTCAGGAGCGATTGGGAGTAGGCTGTCCTCCAGAAACCTTAATTGCACACTTATTGGTGCAGCAGCCCGGGCTCTTTCAGGTCGCTGCACGTTAAGCCGGCGCGCAGTTCCCTTCCTACCTTTCAGCTGCTCCGGGTCCGTAACGTCGCACTGGATGAACACCGTCCTCTGCGCTTCAAACTGCTCGTCCAGGGCCGCCTTGCTCTCCTGCCCGGCCTCCGAGTTGCGGTCCAGCAGGGCTACCTGGGCGGGGAGGGCGGGAAAGGCTGAGCGGCCGGAGGGACAGAGGGACGGCT